AGCGGTTACTATGGGCCATGAATTATTTTGAATGTTAGTTTTCTCTCTGCTTTGCATGGGTAGCAGACACTCCCTGATGAGGGCTTTGATTGCTAGTATTTAAGGAATGATTACAGGCTTGACATTTTACTATGAAAGATTAGAAGTTGAATAAGGCATCATACTGCTTTCTGAGCTGGTCTATAGACATATTTGCAAAACTAGTCAAAGTTTTCCTTGGAAAATGGTTTTGGATCTCTCCTTAGTTGAAACCCAAAAGATCCAGATTATGGAGCAGAGAAGATATGGACATATTTCCCTGGAAATATTTCCAACCACAAGCTACCATCAACATAGTCACAGAAAAGTCTTGTCAACTTTCTTAGCCACAGAAAATTCTCAGTAAACTGTTTGTGATGTCTGGGCAATAATATTGTACAACCTTGTTTGCCTGTTAGAATGAGTTAGGTTTAAAAGTGTAGTCCTGACAGCCATTGAATTGGTATACTCTATCGAGGTACATGAATCAGATAGATTCTAGACATAGTCTGCCCTCTTTTGATCTAATTTATTTTGACCCATCTTTCTGATATGAGTTAGATACCAAAATTTACAGAGGCCCTTCTGGTTCTTTCAAAGACCTAAGCAGTGGCATCAAAGGCCCTACATGACTTGGCCCCATTTTGTTTCCAGCTCTTGTTTGACTTACATAACTCCAGACTCAGCGGAGACCTTGTTATTCATAGAACATACCAGGCATATTCCTGTCTCAGAGCCTTTGCATGATCCACTTTCCTTCCTGTGACACTGTTGCTCCCTTACCTCCTTCAAGTCTTTGTTTAAATGTCATCTGCATGGAGAGGCATACCCTGACCACCATATTTAATGTAGTAACTTCCATTACCACCCCATTCCCAGTACCCTGCTTCATTGTTTGCCATAGTACATATCACTTCTTAACATGGTATATTTTTACTTATATATTGATTCAAATTTTTATATTATACTTAGATGTTATTTGTCTCCTTCCACTAACATAGAGGTCTCATGCTTCCCATCTCTTTGCTTCTCATCTCTATCTCAGCACCTCAAAAGTGACTAGCATATAGTATATGTTCACTAAACACTTGTGGAGTGAAGAAGAGCCATTAAATATTAGAAGCTCTATATGATAGGTCCACACCTACCTTGATCACTTCCATGGGCTTTGTGTGTTTTTTTAGTGCTGGGAATATAGATGGTGCTCAATAAATACCTGTTGATTGGATGAATACATAAATTTCATCTAAAAGCCAACAGAACATTTGGGTATAAATAAAGAGAAGGGAAGCAAAAAATATTTTCCTGTCTAATACCACTTGAAATGTGTGGTCTGTCAGAAAATTGCTTCTCTCACCATGGTTCTTATAGAGCTAGGAGGCAGGTTTTGCTAAAACATTAATAATCAAGGGGACTAATAAACTGATACTTTGGATGTAGCTCATTCTCTTTTACAGAGTCAAATGCAGAAGATAGACCATTGAAATCCACCAAAAATTTTATATTTTCAAATTAGGTTTCCCCATGAGGAGACCAATGTAATAATTCTCAGTAATGTTATACTTGATCCTGAAGCCCATCCACTCATTTAACATTTTGAATAAAGAGATTCAGAGCTGCTGTTTGTTAAGGAGAAGGTGAGCATATTTCTATGGAATATCCATTTCGAAAAGGAAAAGGGTTGCCACTCTTGCAAATGGAGTGCATTATTCTGTGAGGACACCCAAAAGCAATTAATTATGCTGGTGGTGGGAGAGCTCTCATTATGCTCATTTGCTATGCATAGTGACCTGAACAAATTATGCTAACATTTGAATCAATTTTCATAAAGCTAGAAGTAATAAGACTGAACATGTCAAGATATGCAGATTCCATGATCTCTTCTATTATAGTCACCAGATCCAATTCTGTCATCATTATTAGCACCTCTCAGCTCATCAAATCTCTGAATCCTGGGACATCCTTTCTTCAGCCCCTCCCCTGGGTGCTTCACTGGCCATTTGGACTGGTTCTCTGAGTCAGTGTTCTGAGTATTGCCCAAAGGTCAGAAGGATACAAAAGGCCCCGACGGGGACTAGGAGAGCGAGCTGAGCAGGGAGGTGGATAGGATATGTTTGGCACCCCAAAGGCATTTTCCCACAGAAAGTTTGTTATACATAATTGCTAGATTCCTCTATAGCAGTGGTGGTCAACCTTTTTTTTTTTTTTAATCTCATGGCACACATAAACTCATTACTAAAATTCTGTGGCACACAAAAAATATATTTTTTCGCCGATATAATAAAAATATAATTTTGATTTATTCACACTGGGCAGCTATTGTCTTGTTGGCTGTTGTAATTTCTTTTTTTATACAATCTAAAGTAAAATAGGTCAGTGCTCCTAACTAAATAGTAATGTACTGTATGATTTAAAAATTCTTGCAGCACACTAGTTGAAAATCACTGCTCTATAATAACATCATTAAACTATTTGGATGCTATCACTAAAAGTAATTTTATGGGGTGATTTTGCCACTGAATTCCTCATGTATTATCTCTCTCAAAAATATGTTCTAAGTACCAACAATTCATTCATAGTTTAAAGATTGTCACTACTATTAACATCTTAAATACCTATCTGGTAGAGTCACTTGAGCTAAATATACTTCTCATATTTATACTGCCCCAATTTGTAAGGGATTATCTGAAATTAAAAAAACAAACAAACACGAAAACCTTTTCCATCCTATCTCCCTAGTTTCAGTCTCATAATTGCCAGGTAAGCAACTCAATCTTCATGACTTTCTCAGATTCAATGAGTACAAATCCAAATTTATAATCTCCTTCTGTAGTCTTATCCCTAAGAAAAACCAGTATCTATTTCTTAATGCACTGTTGTTGTGAACTCTATCAGCATTCTCCTAGTATTAATACATGAGTTACCTTTTACAACTTCCTCTATCTCAGTTTGTGTGCATGTCTAATAAGCTTATAAGTTCTTTTTAAATGTTCTAAATAACTCTGGAATTCATATCTACCTATCAATACTTACTGTCACTGTTCTAGATTAGAGTCTCATCATATCTCACCTGGTTTTTGGGAAGTAGTCTATCTGGACTCAATGCTTCAGAGCAATTACCTTTTTCAGAGTTGCCTGAGTTTTCTCAAAACTTCACAGTGGCTTCCCATTGTTTTAAGAATGAACTTCAAATTCCCTAACATAATAAGCAACTGCTCCTTAACTTAGTTCCCAAACTACTATTTAAAGCTTGTTTGTTCCCAACTTTATTCCTCAAGGAACACTGATCTCTCTGTGACTTCTCTATTCCTTGAATTTAGACATTCTGAATATTTTCTGTACCATGGATTCCTTTGGCCATCTGATGAAGTGCTTGGATCCCTTTCCTAGAGGAATATTTTTTAATGTATAAAATAATAAACATAATATTACCAAAGAAAGCAATTGTACAGTAATACAATTCTGTCTGTCTGTGAACCCTGTTGTTTATGTCATTGTGGCTTTGCTTATGATCCTCTTCCCATAAAAGTGCCCCTAAACCTACTCTTCTGATTATCAAAATCCTTCTCATCTTTCAAAGCCTATTTAATTCCCATTTCCTCTGTGCAACTTTACCTTTACGTCCTGCTCCATCTGTATGCACCACTTTGCCCTTTGCCTTCTCATAGATTATTTGTATTTCTAATTACTTCTTATCTTTACTTTGCCCTTTATTATAAAACACTGTATTAAATGACAATGATGGGCCAGACACTATACTGGCCAATTTTACATGTTTTGTCTTCATATTTCTCTTTCTCTTTTAAAACACTATAAAGTATGTATATGAGGAGGAAACTGAGATACAGAAATTTTGTTGTTTGACCAAGATCACACAGCTTCCTCCTTTTATAATTATTTGAGGAAAGTAATATTTGATCTTCTTCTGTATACCTTCTCAGGATCTATAGAATAATGTTGTCTAGTAATATTTGCTTATGTGGATTTAAAAGTGAGAAATACTACAAAATACTTACTTCCCAAAATGTAATGTCTCTAGAATCTAATAGGGAGCATAGGAGGACAGAGATGTGTACAACTGTGTTCCTAGGTCAGAGTCTATGCCAATTAACTGGGATGAAATACTTTTAGCATTCTATACACCCTTCTAATATCTAGTGATTTCACAAATTTAAAACCTACATTCCACATATGAAATCATATGGTTCCTAGCATTTTCTGACTGATGGAAGATGATTTGACTTTGGGTGGTGGGCACACAATGCAATAAACAGATCATGTATCATAGAAATGTACACTTGAAACCTATATGATCTTATTAACCAGTGTCACTTAATAAGTTAAATAAAAAAGAGAAAACTTATACAGGGTTTTCATTAGTCAATTCCTTAAAATATTATTTCTTGTTTTGCATTCTTGATTAAAAAACAATAATAAAAATAGAGTAAATTAAATAATTTGTTTGTAATCATAATAAATCCAGTAAATGTTTACATATGTAATAATAAGATCAGTTGTATAATTTATTTACTATGCTACCCGCTCAGTGAAAACAATAAAATGAGCCCAATTTACATTCATATTACAATATGTTTTGAATCTAATTACTTTGTGCCAGTTTCACTTTTCTGTAATCATATATGTTTTATAAGTTTTCTTAAATCAACATTGTTAGGCTATTTATTTTAAAATAAAAATAAAGATTTATTTTAGCAACAGTAAAGCTTTCCTTTCAATATTATTTTCAGTTTTAAAACCATGTATCTATGATCATTAATTTCTAATGTGAAAGTTCTTCATGTATAGTAATTTTGAAAAGAATTATATGTTTTTATTCAACAACACCTTTAGCATGCTGTGAACTATAAATTAATGCATAATTAATTCATTATGGCTATCCATTTTTCAGGACTTCTCTATTATTGCACTGTAGCAAATACTAACTCAGACATAGATGAGTAAATGCTTTTCTATTTTTGCAGCTCCAGAGGGTCCTCCTGAAAATGTGTATGTAGTAGCAACATCACCTTTTAGCATCAACATCAGCTGGAGTGAACCTGCTATCATTACTGGACCAACGTTCTATCTGATAGATGTTGAATCGGTAAGGTTTGTCTTGCCTTCTGCAAAAGGCAATGGAGAGCATGGAAATGAACAAACAAGAAAATCAAATAAAACAAAAACTCATAGACAGCAATAACAGTATGGTGGTCAGCAGAATGAAGGGGGATGGGAGAGTCATAAAGGGTTAAGGGGGTCAACTATATGGTGACAAAAGAAGATTTGACTTCAGGTGGTGGGAGCAAATTGCAATATACAGATAATGTATCAGATTTGTATACTTGAAACATATATCATCTTATTAACCACTAGAGGCCCTGTACATGAATTCATGAACAAGTGGGGTCCCTCCCTGTGAATCGGGGCTGTCTCACCAGTCCTGGTGGGGGCCAATTGGGGCTGGCCGGCTGGGGGGAGGAGGAGGGGCTGCAGGAGGTTGGCTGTGGGAGCGCACAGAACACCAGGGGGAAGCTTTTGCATTGAGCATCTGCCCCCTGGTCATCACTGCGCATCATAGCTACCGGCTGGTCATCCAGTTGTCTGGTTGTAATGGTTGTTTAGGCTTTTATATATATATATATACTAGAGGCCCGGTGCATGAAAATTCATGCACTGGAAGGGGGCGGTTCCTCAGGCCGGCCTGCTCCCTCTCACAGTCCAGGAGCCCTCAGGGGCAGGAGGCGACCCAGCGATCAGGGGAAGGTGACGCCCCATCACACTTCTGCTGCTGCCACTGCTGGCAGCGCAAGCCTCAGTTGGCTCTGATTACCTGAGCCTCGGGCAACCCTGGGGGGCTGGGGGGCTGAGGAGACTGGGGGACTCTGGAGGCAGGCAGAGCTGGGGGGACTGGGCGCTGCCATCTTGTGGCTATGGGCGCCATCATATTGGAGGGCGGGGAAGTCAATTAGCATATTCCCTCTTTATTGGCTGTGGGCACCACCATCTTTGAGGGTGGGACAGTCAATTAGCATATTCCCTCCTTATTGGCTGTGGGCGCCACCATCTTTGTGATGGTGTGCAGGTCAATTAGCATATTCCCTCTTTATTAAATAGGATAGATTGTTGCTCCAATAAGTTTAATTAAAAAAGGGAGGAAAAGGACACAGGTTTTGGAACCGAACTATTTACATTTTAATTCTAGCTCAAGTATACCTTGGGTAACTTAACCTGTGTTTCAGTTTTCACATCTGTAAAATAAAGATTAATAATAGATTAATAATAGATGATATTTAGGGTACAGAAATTGTGTGAAGACTAAACTGTTACTATGCATAAAGAACTTAAAACATTGCCTGGCATATAGGAAGTACTCAATACATGCAAAGAATAATAACATGGTTATTATTACATTGGTCCTTAGGATATACATGATGTATATAAACAGGTGGTTAAATTGGTAACACACTAGTTAAAATACAGTGAAGAAGAACTCATCATACCAAATGAGAAGGGAGAAGGGCATTAGGATAAATATATCCTAAATACATAACATCAGAGCTTAGTATTATCTCCTCATTTGCATTACCACACCTTATCTAACAATATTTTGATGTAAATATTACTATCTTCATTCTGCATAAAGGTGAACTGAGACAGACATGATAAATAATTTCTCACATAACTGAGACTAGGCTAAGACCAGCAGACAATGGTATGATAGGATAAATGGAAAGCCATTAAATATCAATTAAAATTTGCCAAATTGAAATATGAACTCACCAAAACCACTTCGGATCAAGGATAGCAAGAATTCAAACAGATTCTAGCACTTCACAGGTTCCCTGGGATTCTTGGACTGAAGTAATCATTTAGTTCCTTCTTCCCTTCATTAATCCAACACAAATTCTTAAGTAAATCTAACATGCCAGTATTGTTCTAGGGTTTGGATAGGTAGAAGTGAACAAGTCAGAAGTGGCCACTGTCTTTATAGAGCTTATCTGCAGTTCATTTCATGAATATATAACTATCTACATTCAAGAATCATTAGTTCCTAGACCCATGAAGAACACATTTCATTGAATTTTGCACTCCTGGTACTGCCTGAATTTTGCCAAATACTAGCCACTAGGTCATACAAGTCTTCCTATATAAGACTAAAATTAAGCCAAAATTGACCATCTTAAAATATATATTTATGGGCACCAATATCATCCTGGATGATTGTACTGGAAATTAATGCATTTTGTAGTCATTTTTTATTGTAATATTTACTTTTTTAAAATTAAAAAAATATATTTATTGAACAGCCTCTATTTTCCAAAACAAAGATGGAAAATAAGGTTTTGTTCTCAAGTAGCTCACACTGTAGTGGGAGACACTAGAATATAAACAGCAGTTTTTTTAAAAATAAAACCTAACTAAGTAATTAAAGCTTCTGTTATGGGAGACATGGGGTAAAGAGAAGACTTCATAGAGCAGGTTAAATTTATTCTGAGACTTGAGGGATGAATAAGGGTTTACCAAGTTGGAAGGTTGGAGGTGGGAGAGAAAAAGGAGAGAAATGAACCAGTCCAGCTACTGATATTATATATAAAAATTACCATACTTCATAAATAAAAAAAATGTTTCATAATAATAATAGGTGATCAAATATAATATGAGCAAACAACCTTGGCACTAACTGAAGGGAAATGCTAGTCAAAAAGGTCTGAGCTATTGGTCCTGGGTAAGTGAACAAATAATGGTTAATAGTAACAAAGATAAAGTAGGTTTAATAAAGAAAGATAATAAATTTTATATAAGCTGTATTCAAAGGCCTAGCATTCTTTTTGGATTTTATTAAAATTTATTTAAGAGATAGTAGGTCACAGACATGCTGTGTCATATTTTTACTTCTTGATATTTGTTATCCATTGTTTTCATGGATGGCCTTGGAATAGTTTCATTGTACCTTATAAGATCATTCCCAGTGAACTTATGACAGTGTAGACAGTTCTGGACTATTGAAACAACTGACTGTAAATCCTGTCAGCTACTTAGTTGTTATGGAATCTTGAGGAATTCACCTCAACTCTATAAAATCAGAGTTCAAGTGGCCACAGTATGTAGTCAGGCAATAACATAAATGAGCAGTCAAAGTGAAGCCAACTGGATGGGGCAGTGATGCACTGGAGACCCATAGCTCTTTACAGAAGCTGACTATCATTCACCCCTAGGTCATTGTTACTCAGCGCGAATATAAGCCTCGTCCTAAGGAAAATTTTAAAAGCCAGATGTTCCGATGATATTTAAATATTAACAACAAATTAAATACACTTTCTATCAGGAAGAATGTGTACCTCATCAATTGGATTTCTAGGCTAATTTCTTTTTCTGCCATTTTAGAAACTTTTCCTTCCGCTGCTGTCTTGAGGTAGGAACAATCTACCTGACTTTTTTCTATGCTGATATTATTTATCAGCCTTTTATTGTGTTTCTCATGGCAACATTAGATTAGGTTAAGGGAGGCCTTAGAAAAGACTATTTGAAGACCATACACTGAACAAAAGCCATCTTTCGAAGTTACCAGGGAGGGTGAAGTTGAGAATGAACTTAATACTGGGAGCAGTGTGTATAATCTGTTTTAGAGTTTTTCAAAATCATGTGCCTGCGAGGAGCATGCAAAATAAGATTTTAAATTTTCTGATGTTCACCTCAGGAAAAGCCCTTCCTTACTGCTAGAAACTTAGACTTTCCATCAAAGATAAACCATACTTAAATAAGTCATAAACCTACATTGAGTACACCGAAAGGTAAGCATTTGTGCATATTTAATAATTATGACAACCACAGTTGAGTTCTTATCCAGTGTCAACTCAGAGTTTTCCTAACTGCAATCAAGACCAGCATTTTAAAATTAATTGGAATAAAATTAGAGCAGAAAAGACCAAGTGTATTTCAAAAGGAAGTTGAATTTCTGAAAATAGTTTTTCAGGTATAAATAAGTATATATATATATGAGTGCACATATAAATACTTCTTTATACCTGAAAAATGATTTTATGAGTTATGGTATGAAAAATGATATCCTGAATTATGTTACAAAATGTGTTTCCTTTGTGTGAGTCTGGTATTAAAATAAAACAAAATACTTCAGATCTATTTTTTCTAAATTTCAACAAAGCACTATAAACACATATTATCACCCATTTCAATACACAGAAAGTAAGACACAGAACGTAAGTGAGTTGACAAATGCTATGTAGGAGCTATTAAGTGGCTAAGTTGGGGTTTGAACCTTTGATGGTTGGGTACCAAAACCTATATTTTTTCTCTATAAAACATTAGAGTAGGAAGCAGTGTTTCATCGACTGCAGAGATAATTTTGGCTTGATTTTGATGATTTTTGATGGGTGAATTGCTTTTTCTTTTACTTTTAATTATTGAAATAATTGCTAATTAGTAAACTATTAAAGTAACACTTTAGATTCCCCAGGACAATCTGTTTAAAGAAATACAGTTGTCCCTTGAACAACATGGAGGTTAGGGGTACTGACCCCCACACAGTTGAAAATATGCATATAACTTTTGGCTCCACCAAAACTTGTTATTCCTCAGTATCCACAGGGATTGGTTCCAGGACCACCTGTGGACACTAACATCCTCATATAGTCAAGTTGCCTGCATCAATGCATACAGTCAGCAAGCTGCATCTGTAGACTTCTAACTGAAAATTGAAAACAGTACAAATATTCATTGAGAAAATCTGCATATATTTGGACCCATGCAGTTCAAGCCTGTGTTGTTCAAAGGTCAACACTAATTTAAATCTTGACTAGATAAATATACCACATGCAGCTTTGTATGATTATACTTTAGTGATTTGTATCTCAAGTGCTGCTTTCTTTCATTGTCAGCTATTTTTTTTTCTTATAGGTAGATAGTGATGAATTTAATATTTCCTTAATCAAGTCAAATGAAGAGAATAAAACCATAGAAATTAAAGATTTAAAAATATTCACAAGGTATTCTGTGGTGATCACTGCATTCACTGGAAATGTTAGTGCGGCTTATGTAGAAGGAAAGTCAAGTGCTGAAGTGATTGTTACTACTTTAGAATCAGGTAAGGCATATTTTTTATCATTGCTAAAAACTGGACCTACTTAGGTATTTTTCTTACAGTTTATCGCACCCCACCCTAAAAAGGGTATGTATTATCAAATTTTTAATTCATATAAATATAATATTCAGTGATTCACTCTGATTGACGAAAGTGAAGCTTTCTGTTTTTTGAGGCAAAGTGGAATTATGCAGAATAGCCAATCCTTGTAAATACAAAAAAACAACAACACACAAATTAGTTCATAATAAGCACAATTTTTGCATTTATTTAAACACTAAATGTTTCAGAAATTATCTTGCTGAAGAGATGATTTTCCCAATTGTGTATAGCCCAAAATGCTTCACCTAAAATTCCATTTTAATTATTTCTGTCTCATGATTTAAATGCTTATTTAAAGTGCTAATACTTTATTATTAAATAAACTAGAAGTCAAAATCCGAATCCGGGTCACATTTATCATATGTTTTCTTCACTTATTTAAGAGACATGTTTTATTATATAATCTATTTGATAAATGTCAGAATCCATACAGATTTACTCAAGTTCCCATGAACAGGGTCTGAATGAATGATAAGATTATAACCAATAAGAATTAAATGTGGAAAGTCAACCTCCCAGAACTCGCTTGCCCCATCCTCCTTCAGACTCCTGATGTTCTTTGCCACCAGATATATCTTTGGAAAGAGCACATGAAGGGATGTGTTGCTATAGTTTATTTGTTGCTATCTGTAAGGTAAGTATAGGAGGTAAAAATACTTTTGAGTTAGTCTTTTCATTATGTTACATACTGCATTGTCTACTGTTATGGTTCTAAATTAAAAGGTCCATCTTATTCTCTGAACCCTAAAATCCCACTTGTTTCCAGTGTGCTGCCACGTGTATGTATCCCAGGTATCTATTTTCTCATTGTACTTGTTGCAAGTCTCTGTCATCCTACCTTCCTGTGAGGAAAGATGCTGCTGAACTTCTTCACATCCATGCCATAAAGCATTCATTGAAAATCTTAATGTGCTACTTCTTTCAAGGATATTGTAGTTTAATACATTTTTACTGAACATCTAAAAATTCAATTTTAGATGTAAAACCAAATATATTTGCAGGATAGGAAGTTCTTTCCAGCATTGAGAGAAATCTTCCACTTATCCAACTTTAAACCGGACCTTATTTTTAAAAACATCTCTTGTAAAAAAATAAAGTTTTTCTTATGTACCATAAATATGTTTAACAACTAATTTTGTGAAAATGTGTTGAACCTGTCTAACCTTTATGTTAGCTATGCTTTTTTGCCCTTAAATGTGGTATTTGGAACAATAAAATGTTATCTGATTCTCTCTCTTTTTCCTCACTGTTACTTATTTACTTATTTTTTTGCTTGCCAGAGGGCACTATTTTTAAAGATGTTTGCAAGAAAAAAGAGCTTGTACCTGAACTACTAATAGCCAAGTATTAACAGCCTTCTTCATGGAAATTCTTTATTTAGTATGGAAAAATATATCCATTCCAACTTGATCAAAATAGATATATTCATCCAGTTATTCATATAAATAACACAATGTAGTACAGCAATAAATAGTTCATAAAATATATTTTATTATGAACTATATTCATAAAATAATTTTATCGTGTATACAATTTTTTCACAATAATTTATTGATACTTAGCTTGTTATATGTCCAACTAACTTCTATTTATTAAAAAAAACCCGGAATATCTAGAATATATGAACTCTTAAAACTCAGCACAACAAATCCAGTTTAAAAGTTGATAAAAGACATTTCACCAAAGAGGAGATATGATTGGCAAATAAACTCATGATAAGATAGATTTTCAGTATCATTACTTATTAGGAAAATGCAAATTAAAGCCACAATGAGATATCACTATGCATTTACTAGGACAGATAAAATAATAATGTTGAAAATGGTGAGAATACCAAATGATGGCAAAGATGCAGAAAGACTGGATTTCTCATACATTTCTAGTGGGACTATAAAAGGGTATAGCCACATTGGAAAATAGTTTGTTAATCTTTTATAAAACCAAGCATGATTCAGCAATTATACTCTAGGGTATTTATCATAGAGAATTGATAATTTGTGTTCATGCAAGCATCTGTATGTAAATGGTAATAGCAGATTTATTAGTAATAAAAAAACTGAAAACAATCCAAATGTTTTTTTTATGATTAAACAAATTCTGGTACACCCATATAAGGGAACACTACTTGGCAATGAAAGAAGAATGAATTACTAATATATGCAACAACTCTGATGAACCTCACAGTCATTATGCATTGTGTTTCTCAAAATGACATAGCTATGGAGATGAAGAAAGATTAGTGTTGAGGGGAGGCATGGAAGGCAAATACAAAGAGAAGGCAAGATGAAGTTCTTTTGTGGTGATGGGATTGCTCTGTATCTTGTTTCTGATGGTGTTTATAGGAATCTGTACATGGGATTAAATTGCATAGAACTACATACAAGAAAGTGTGAAAAAAATGTTAAATTTGAATATTGTCTGTAGTCTTGTTAACAGCATTGTACCAATGTCAGTTTCCAGGTTTGATATTAAACTACAGTTATATAAGATGCCAACAATGGCGAAAGCTAGGGGAAGGCTACGTGGAACTGTGTATGGTTTTTGCAACTTTCCGTGAGTCTATATTATTATTAATTAAACTCAAATAGTTATGGAAATGTGATCTGCATAAAAACAATGCATATATAAAGCTAAATAAATAAGAGGAAATATATAATGAACTGAATCAGCAGTATGGTTCCTGTGACCTAAGATGTCAGTGATATCAGACATTTTGCTTGTTTCCATAATTCATAGGGTTTAAATAATCTGTGTAATACTCCTTATAAACATAAATTTGAAATCAGTTTTATATGGCGATTGAAAAGAACATATTTTTTATAAAATTTAATTGCTAAATATTTCATTTTAGTCCCTAAGGATCCACCTAACAACATGACATTTCAGAAGATACCAGATGAAGTGACAAAATTTCAGTTAACATTCCTTCCTCCTTCTCAACCCAATGGAAATATCCAAGTATATCAAGCTTTGGTTTACCGAGAAGATGACCCTACTGCTGTGCAGATTCACAACCTCAGCATTATCCAGAAAACGGACACATCCGTTATCGCAATGTTAGAAGGACTGAAAGGTGGACATACATACAATATCAGTGTAAGCATTCATAGCTTTTAGTTACTTGCCTATTTTACAAAGTCAGTTGTCAAACTCAGCATTCAAAGATACTTCAGCTTATGTACACACTACATTTTTTTCACATATTTTGGGGGGATTGTTTAAGACATGCACACAGAAAATAGATTTAGAGAAGTGAAATTGTTGATATCCTATTATAATATAGCAAGTCCTATGAAAATATATAGGTAATTAAAACCTTTGTACAAACAATAATGCCATTAACTCTAATAGCATTATTGTTTAGAAATAATTTATTCCCCTTCCATTCTGTGGCTTATACATATATCTATGCCATTGACTTTGATTTTGGCCACACGATGTGCTTTGGCCAATGACATGTGCCACATCTATTGAGAAGCATTACAAGTTTGTGTCAGCTCTCTCCTTCTTCCTCTCCGTCTCAAGAAAAGATATTCCAAGCGGAGTCTGCTTCTTCAGTCTGGGTCTAGAAATGGGAAAATATCAAGTAAGGTTAAGCCATGTCAGCCAACCCACAGTTGTGCATGTACTGTAAATAAGAAAAAAATGTGCACTATTGTAAGCCAAAAGTAAACACCAAAAAACAGCCACATTTGTATTATTGTTAGAAATGCAGAAATAAAATAAAGGATAAAGGAAATGCATGCTAAAAGTAAAAGAATTGTAGTAAAGAGATGATTCTGCCAAATGGAAAACTGTTAATGTGTGATTATAAATGAAACATGGAAAAGCAAAATTCAAAGGCAAAGAGCAGAAATAATTATTTACATGATTGAAATTCACATATATTTCACATAACTATTACTAAAAGCTAATAACATTTTATTTTTTCATTCTAAATTATCCATTTGGGAAAGTAAGTGTATATGTGAGTTCATATTGCATATATACAGGCCATGATCAATTTGTTTCATCATTTGATGATTTTTATAGCATGTCTTGCAATTTTCAAATAGAATTATCTGATTCAGAAATTCATATTTCAAGCAACATAAAATTCATCCTAAGCCTTAACTTATTAACTAATCCTCCTAGTAACTCTTTATAATCATCAGAATACTACCATGTGTATATATATTCCCTCATTAACTTTATATCCTGCTAGGTAATATGTCTTGCTAGGATTCTTTTTGTACATACCATTGTGAATATCTTTGTGAAAGATCTATTAGAGGAGAGTGGTGGTTAGAGAATGAACTGACCTTGGTTCAAATACTCACTTTGCTATTTTCTGTATCTGGTCAATTTCTGCAAATCTACCTTGGTTTTCTTATCTGAAAAATTACTAATAGGAATAATAACTTCTTTATAAGAATATTGTGAGTATTAATGATTTGTAGTTATGGTAAATAGTGAGTACGCTATCAGTTTTGCCTATTGTGAATATGAGAAAAAATAGGAAATAAATCACAACTAATTCATAATTTAAAGAACAAGAAATAAGTTCTCTGATTATTCACAAAGTGGAATTTACAGCATCCTCAACTCCTGAGAGGTTATTAGAAATGTATAACTTTAGCACCTGTTCCCATCTGCTGCATGAAAATTTGCATATCTTCATTTACCCGGGTTTCCAAGTGACCTATTTCCACAATGCAATTGAAAAGCACTGTCCAATTCATCATTTACTATGTCACTTAAATATTAGCTTGCACCATAAAGAAATAAAAATAAGGAAGCAGACCATAATATCATTTTTGTTGTGGATACTTTCTTAAATTTACAAACTTCAATAAGCATTTTCTTTAGATATTTTTAACCATGTTTTTGGGGCTTGGGTTATTCACCATAACTAGCACATCATACATATCATTACAGTTTTAATTCAATCAAAGTATATATAGTGTGGAGTGTGGGTCACTAATATATAAACAAATGTATTAACTTCAATAAACATTATACTCTGAATTTCATTTAGCAAGTACAAATAAACTGGGCGAGAACATGGTCTTTGTTTTATATAGCAATATTATGTGGATAGAAGAAAATTCTGTGTCTGCAGTTTCCTAAGCACAAAGTTAATTGAAAGGATTCACATCTGTGTAAATCACCCTCTGTACATACAAACAGAAATGCTTTATGTGTATATGCTGCATTACGCAGGTTATAGCGTCAGATACTTTGGGGCAGGGGTGAAGAAGGGCATAAAGGGCAACTTTCAGAGGGATGATTTAATACAGGAAACCTGGGAGGCTGGAGGAATAGGGTTTCATCTCAGAGAAGGGAAAAAAAAGAGGATCTTGAATATGGATTTACAGAAAGCCAGTTACCTAGCTACAGAGAAGAGGAAAAGATGTTAGAGTAGATGAAGAGAGCAAATAGAGTCTTTTCTATTCCTCCTACAGGTTCCAATTGAAGCCACAGTCTTTTCCTAGTCTCTGTGATCCGTCTATTTTGGTCAATCAGCCTTTGTTCTCAGGGCTTACTAGTAGCACAAGATCAGTTTTAAGAATTACTTTGTTGTTAATATTCTTCCTCCATATATAACTCACATTTAAGGGGGTGCAAGAAATAGATAATTAATAGATTATATGCAATTGTTTTTAAAAGTAGAATCATTTTAAAATTACATATAACCATAATCAGTTATAGGTACATGTAAGCAATAATTTGAAAATAGTAACAAGATGTTTCTTTGTTTTAGGTTTATGCAATCAATAGTGCTGGTGCAGGACCAAAGGTTCAGATGAGAATAACTATGGATATTAAAGGTATATACACAAGCTCCCATTCATTCCACAAATGCTGCTTTCTTAATCAAACAGTAATTGAACTTGAATTCTGTATTAGAATTAACGGTGGAGTCAAGCTTGTAGTGATGCATGTGCATTTAGTAAGCATATTTAAGTAATAATATATGCTTGTTAAAGCTATAATTAAAATGCCCAAATAATGATGCAAATTACCATCCTATATAATAAAAGGCTAATATGCAAATTGTCCCCTCAGGAGTTCAACCACTCGCTATGACGTGCACTGACCACCAGGGGGCGGCATAGAATGAAGGAAGGACCTGGCCAGCGGGGAGGCGGGGAGGAGGAAGGCCTCGATTGGCCCTGATCATTGGCCAGGCCTGGGGACCCTACCCATGCATGAATTTTGTGCACCAGGCCTCTAGGGTTAAATAAAGAGAATGCCCACCTGCTATTTTTTTCTTATATTTCCTTTCCTGTAACTTTAAACTCTTCTGAGACAAATTTTATAGTCCATTATTTTGTTTTTAAATTTTATTGAAAACGAAACTTATTCTTTAAATTACCCATGACTAGGAGTTGACTAGTTTTAACTAGATTCCTCAATGACTTTTATTTATATTGAAAGTTGAATTCTTTACAGTTAATTAAATAGTGTTTACTGAACAACCATGTATTCAGCTTTATGATTCTAACTCTAAAGATTCTGATCTATCAATTTATTAATATTACAGGTAGTTTTCATTGACAATATAACTAAAATTTGGAGCCTCTCGCCCGCCAAATCCATAAAAACTAAAAAAGATTTTTATGAGGAATTTAGGGTCATTCAGTCATCAGGGTGCCTTCTATTCCTGAGACTGAAAACCTGCATGTAGCTGTGCCATCTCTCTAAAAAGCTATGTAAAACCTGCAGAGCTAAAAACAAAGAAAACAAGTATATGGACCTTTAGTAGAATTCCACCTCCTGTTGCTTCTCTCTTTAGAGCAAAAAGTAAGGACACCAGAGCACAGTGATTCTCAGTCTTTGGCAAGGACACCAAGCACAATGATTAAAAGCAGGCTCTAGGCTGAGTCTAGGGTCAGACTGCTGAGATTGAATCCTGGATTGGCCACTTGATATCTGTTTGACTTTGGGCAAGTTTCTTAACCTCTATAAGCCTGGATAGTGGAGATAATACTAGTTCCTACTGCATACATTATTGTGAGGATTAAAAGAGATAATCTTTGAAAAAACGCTTAGGACAGTGACCTACTAGAGAATGAGAAACATTCACTGTAAGGTGAAGCTGATAAATATCATCTTTTCATCAATGGGTAGTTTTCACAATTGTAATACTGTATATAAATATTAATTATTTGCTTTTAATTGATAAATTATATGCTTAGGAGATACAAATACAAAGTCTTAAAAAATCAGCAATTTGAAAAAATGACTTCATAAAGAAGAGCTTACATCAATTCATCTTAATGTCTGTTATTTGTTGGCAGACATGTAGGTATGCACTTAACAATATTGATTCTTTAGTAAAAATAATTTCCATTTCAGATGCTTTTGGTCATCCCAGGTAAAGAAGACTCATTCTGACTTTATTCTCATTAGATAGGGCAGATAGACTCAGGACCAGTTATCTAGAGAATATATAAATATATATATACTGAAGGCAGTGGTGGGGTCCTAGAGAAATTAATTTTTCTTCAGTAAATATGAATGATTTTGTTAGTAACATGGAGTGATATTGAATTAATGGTAGTCTCATTAAGTTTGCATTTGACAGATAATGTCAGGTTGGATAGTCATGTCCAGTGAAAGATTCTTCTAACTGGAAACCTTTTCTTGGGAACTCCTCAGTGGCCTAGAGCTTCTCAGAACTCCCTAAAACCAGAGGCTCTTCCTGCTGAATTCTTTCTTCCTCCTCCCCTTTCTCAGGTGTCTCCCTACCTGTGCTCTGTGGTCTAAGGCTCTCACCATCTCCTCTTGCTCACCTTATCTTTACTCTTCACAGATATTTTCCCCAATAAACTTGCTACTCATCTAATATCATAGGCTTTATATCTCAGAGGAATGAGCGAAAGGATCAAGTAAAAAGATTTGGTTCCCTTTTATAGCTATGTGATATAAGGCCATCTCCTCATGTGCAAAATTGAAATAATATTGTCAATTTTATAGCATTACTGAGAGGCCTTTTAAAAAGATTAAATAAAGATGGAGAATAAAATTTGATTAAGCAACTCATTGTTGCTCAAACAATATATAATAATAAAAGTATAATATGCTCATTAGACCAGGCAGCAAAACAACCTTCCGGATGTCCTTCCAGATGAAGCCACGGTGGCGGGGGCTGAGGCAGAGGTGGTTAGGGGAGATCAGGCAGGCAGGCAAGCAGTTAGGGGTGATGACGCAGGCAGATGAGTCATTAGGGGTGATGAGGCAGGCAGGCAGAGTGGTTAGGGGCAATCAGGCAGGCAGGAAGGTGAGCGGTTAGGAGCCAGCAGTCCCAGTTTGCGAGAGGGATGTCCAACTGCCGGTTTAGGCCGGGTCCCACATTTCCTGAGGGGTCCCGGATTGTGAGAGGGTGCAGGCCGGCTGAGGGACCCTCACCCCCAACCCCCGAGTACGAATTTTGTGCACCAGGCCTCTAGTTGTTATATATAGCTATGAGATGAAATTAATTAAACAAACAGAGCTTCTATAAATATTGATTTGGGAGATACGTGTATGCACTGATGGTAATATGTGAATTATCAGGGCACTTTTAGAAATTATTCTGGCAATATCTATTAAAAGTTAAAAATAAATATATCTTTTGTTCCAGAAATTCTGCTCTTGGAAATCTATTCCACAGAAATAAAAAGATGTTTGGCATGGATAAACTGGGTAAAGGGAGGTGCTAGTATGACTAGAATAGAAATTGGAAAACTAGCTGAAATAAATAAAAGAAAAAGAAAAAACACTAAAATAATAGTATGATTTAATGCACTTATGAAAATTATATTTGAGTGAGAGCATATATAATTTGAATTTATTTAATATGTAAAGATAAGTCGGATGTCCAAAAATTATACCTGAGTCCCATTATTTCAGGTTAAGTCTCAAATATATAATTATACCACCAGGAGATAATTGTTTAATATTTGCTGTATCAAAATAAGGCTATTTCATTTGTTCTTTATGTTTGTCATCACGTTATCTGTAAATTACCTGCCTGAAAAAAAAATTTAAATGCTTATTTCTCCTCTTCAGAAACAAAAAATCAATTATGATACTTCTTTGTTTATAGCTCCAGCACGACCAAAAACCAAACCAACCCCTATTTATGATGCCACAGGAAAATTGCTGGTGACTTCAACAACAATTACCATCAGAATGCCAATATGTTACTATAATGATGATCATGGGCCCATCAAAAATGTACAAGTGCTTGTAGCAGAAGCTGGAGGTATCATTAAATATTAACTTATCCTATTAATTTATAAAGTATGAATTGCTGAATGGTATAGAAATTTCAGTTCAAAATTAGTAATATAAATTGACTCCTGATTAGTACGTACATCTTGACCTTAATATATTGTCAATATTATAATTAATTATACAAAACACTTATGCTAACATTTTTATAAAAATAAGAGAAGGCATAGTTAAAATATGTGATTTATTTATTCCATATGCTAGTAGGATTGCTTTGACTTTGACAAGATGGATTATTGGTAACTTCTTTGGAGATGTGAATATTACAGTTACTCTTGACTGAGGGATTTTTTTTCACTAGATGCTTATCCAGGTAAATCAACTGAATTATCCCTGGTGGTTCATAGAGTGAAAGATACTTCATCCAGAATTTCTTAATGCAATTATAAAAACCATTTATAAATTTGAAAATAATGTAAATGTTATTTGTAATCATCATTCCTTTTTTCTGAAAATAGCTCAGCATGATGGAAATGTAACAAAGTGGTATGATGCATATTTTAATAAACCAAAGCCATACTTTACAAATGAAGGCTTTCCTAATCCTCCGTGTACAGAAGGAAAGACAAAGTTCAGTAGCAATGAAGAAATCTACATCATAGGTGCTGATCATGCATGTATGATTCCTGGCAATGAAGACAAAATTTGCAATGGACCTCTGAAGCCAAAAAAGCAATACTTGTATGTATAGTTTATACCTACCATGCATTGTGTTAGCAAGCTGGTTGATATCTTTCATTCCTCCATCCACCCATCCTTTTATCTTTTCAGTAAGCACTGGGCATCCACCTTGTATTGTGACTATATTTTTAAAAATATTTTTTAAAAATATGTTTTTGTTGACTTGAAAGAGAGGAAAGGAGAGAGAAAGAGAAAGAGAAATATCGATCAGCTGCCTCCTGCACGTCTCCCACTGGGGATTGAGCCCACAACCCTGGGCATGTGCCCTGACAGGGAATTTAACAAGCAACCTCTCGGTGCATGAGACAGCCCTCAAACCACTGAGCAACACTGGCCAGAGCTGATCAGAATTTTTAGGCTCCAGGAACGTAAGGACCAACAAAAGATTGACCTCATATTCCACAGACATATAGTTCTATAGGAAAAGCAGACAAACCTAAATGTAATTATGATTTGATCTTTTGATCTGATAAATAACATAAGGTCAATATGAAAAATGTGCCCTTGGATAGGAGAATTTAATTCTTTCTGTAGAGGACAATGTGACCAATATAATATTTTGTGTTTTTCACTCATTATTTGCCTTGTATGTTAATGTGCAGGTGTTTAGGAACACTATCAGTCTTTTGGTTAATGATAGCTTCGATTTACCTTGTTCATAGCAATACTTTTATCCTCTATATACCATCAAACATTGTATTTAGTGATTGAAATCTTTACAACTCACTTTAATATTTGGCATTTTGTAGATCCAACTGAATATCATATTAAAAATCTCTTTTCAAATGAAATCAATTTTTTAATTTTCATTAATGTTCGTAAATGGTATTAGGTAGGGTCCAACTCCATTCCTTGGTCAGTGAATATCCAGTTTTCTCGACACCATCTGTTGAAAAGACTGTTTTCATCTCTGGCTTTGTTAATTTCTTTGCTAAATTGATTTTTCCTACTAAATTAACTATTATTTCTGTGTCACAAGATGACAGATTTTAAAAAAACTTGAATTATTTTATTTTCAAAATATAATTTTTTTTACTAGTAAATTTGAAAAATGTAGCTAGTCTCATCTTGCCAACTAATGCTTTATTAAATTCTTTATAAGTGTCTTGGGCCAAATTAGCATTGGAAAAATTAGAGAAGGTGGGCAAATTTTTTAAAAAAGCTCTATCATCTATATGAATTACAGTTACTGTGGTTACAAGGTTATTGTCTGAAATATAATCATTATACATATGATAGTTATGAAAATGGTATATCACAAAGTTTAATACTTATTCAAGTATTTTCATTTTGCGTATTTTTTCCAAAACAGACTCCTCATATAATCAATACAATAATAAGAAACTGAGAATAGTAGAGATTAATTTATGCATTGCAATTTATTAATGTAAATTGATTCTATGTTTTGAAATGCCTGGATGTCTATAGTTTTTAAATAAGGTGTTTTGGTTTTCTTTGTGAATGTTAGAATCATAGAATGATTTTTAAGATTGATTCTCTTCTGTACCTATTTTCCATTTCATATGTCATAAAAGCATAGGAGGTAAAGCTGTGCATACATAGATTTAAGAAACATTTTCTTAATTGCATACATATGAACAAGATAAGTTCTATATGACAATTCTAAATCTGGTTCACTGGTATTTTCAAAGGTCAACAAGGTATAACAGTTGTTATGATTTATAGTTTAAAAGTCTGTTTGTGCAACACACTTTCACAGACTACATTATTTCATCCAAACAAATCTGTGAAGGAGGTAGGTAATCTGCTTCAGTTGAGCTGCTGATTGCTTACGAGTCTGCCCAGATTCTTAGTCACTCTCTCATGAAGTTCATGAGGTCCATTTCTAGGGTAATTATTCATCTCACATAAAGATAGTATCTATTTGTCTGGATGGTCATTGAATTTCAAGTCTACATCTTGTAAATTTGCTTTATCTTAAATAAAAATGTTTATTTTAATAGCTATTTTCTAAATTATTCATAAAAAATCATATGGCATGCAAATTGCTAGTTTTAATTTTTTTTTCTATTTTATAGATTTAAATTTAGAGCCACAAATGTCATGGGACAATTTACTGACTCTGATTACTCTGACCCTGTTAAGACTTTAGGTAAGACATATTTTGTAGTTTACTTTCAATTCTCAACATGCTAATTACAGTGCAACATTCATTAAAATGTAATAATCCACAACTGAATGTTCTCAAGTATAAATTCATTTCAAGGTTAACTAACCTGATTAAGGAAAAAGAGTATATTATAATATTCTATTAATAGATGGAAGTTGCATCCATTTGAATCTGGATCTAGATTTTGAAAAGGTACTGGTTCTATGCTGATGTGCACTATCATTATACCAAGCAAATATTTAATTAGCTGTTTAATATACAATCTTACAGCAGAAGATTTTTACCTAATACAAAGGAAAGGCTTATGGCAATTATTCTGAAATAATCCTAAAAAAACTAGATGTTTACCTGTCCTCTTTAATTTTTCTTTTTTTCTAATCAGCTCTTTCATGTTTTCTTATTAATTATATGCACTCAATTAGGCCTGAATAAAATACAAATACAATTTAGTCAAATGCAAGTATATTTCTTCCTCCTCCTCCCCCTCCTCCTCCTCCTCCTCCTCCTCTTCTTTTTTGTCATCACCATCATCTAACATTAAATATTCTATACCAGACACACTTTCAGGTTCTTTGTATGTATTAACTGATGAACTCTTCACAACTATCCTTTACTGTAGATCAGTGGTTCCCAGTCAAAGTGATTTTACCCTCCAGGGACATTTGAGAATGTTTGGGGCCATTTTTGGTTGTCACAACCATGGGGGCTGAGCTATGGGCATCTACTGGGCAAAAGCAAAGGATACTGCTGAACATGCCACAGTGCATAGGACAGCCCCTCTCAGCAAAGAATTATCTGACCCATAATGTCAGAGACCCTGTCAGGGGGTAATGCTACCTCCATTTTAATGATGGGAAAACCAAGGTTCATATTAAGTAATTATGTGGTTGGGTCAGGATTTTAGCACAGATTTGATAGCAATTACACCCCAAATAGAGAATTTACACCTGCATTCAAATTTTGGCTCCTCCACTAGAGAAAATAATTTCTATAAGCTTCAGTTTCCTTATTTTGAAAATGGTGATGAGAATATTACTTTGAAAGATTTACATAAAGCAACATATGTAAAGACATTAATATTTTATAGTTAGAAAAAAAGTGAAATGCTTAATAGCTTATTTTGGGGTAGGCTATACTCAAAAACTTTAGAAATATACTTCCTTAGGAGAAATTATGTCCCCAGAATTTTTTGAGTGGATCACAACTTCCAATTTGCACCAAGCTTTGAGAATGTGGAACTTTGTATGTTGCTCAGATACACAGCACATCATGAGCTGCAACAGATTTCAGTAAGGGTTGAAGCTGGATGCAGATAATTGTTCTACCATTTTCAGTTAGAAATTCTCACCAGGTTTTTAAACATTAACTGTATAGAAAGCCAGCTTCTGCAGGCTCCACTTAGTTAATAAAATGTTGGACCTTGAAGAAATAAAGAAAGGGCATGTGACTAGCTGCATGGATGTTGATAGAGGAATAACAAATTTCTTTGGCTATTCTCTCTAATTTCATAAAATCACTGGTTTGATTAACTGTACACAATATATTAATCATTTTAAAACTAGCCGATGAGACTTGGGATATTGAAATTGTGTTGAGTGTTTCTTCATTTGATAGGTGATTTTTATCACACGATGATACCACCTCAGTAAATGCCTTGAAGGCACTAACATAATTTCCTCGAGATTATGGCATTCAGAGACTATCGCCTCCACTAACTAATGATCCTGGTGTGTTTGCTGATGGAAGGAAAGAGTCAAAGACAAAGTGAATAGCTAGCAGTGCTGAAAAGAGACCTCCTTGCTGTGCTGTGCCTCTCATAGCTTGTTGGTTTCATACAGATATATTTATTTTAATTTATTTTTGTTTTTTATCTTTTTTTCTTTTATTTTTTACTTATTGCTGACAGTATTACAGATGTCCCCCATTTCTCCCCATTTGCCCACCTCCACCCAGCCCCAGCCCCCCTCCCTCTGGCCATCACCACACTGTTGTCTGTGTCTCTGGGCTATGCTTTGGCTAATCTCTTCACCATCTTTTATCTAGTGCCCCCCTCCCCTCCGAGCTGTGTCAGTCTGTTCCATGTATGCATCCATGCCTCTGGTTCTATGTTGTTCATCAGTTTATTTTGCTCATTAGATTCCACATGTAAGTGAGATCATGTGGTATTTGTCTTTGTTATTGATGTGAGGACATCATATTCAGTTAGCAATCTGAGAGGCAAAGTTGAGATATTCAGGGGAATAGGAATGAGCGTGAAAAGCCATAAAAAAGGGGATACCTGAGTATCAGGGACCATGCTTATCTTCTTTTTCTTCCTTTCTCTCACAGACTAGGGAGTAGAATACAATAATTAACTCTAGAAAGTAACAGTCATACACAGTTGGTTCTTGGTTCCTTTTGGAATCATAACTACTATCACCCTAGTCATCCAGGTAATAATGCTTATGTGCCCTGGTAACAACAGGAGTCTAGAAGGGATGTTAAGATGTGGAGCAAAGGGCAGAGCACAGGATCCTGCCAAAGCCAGGGAGGAAGGGGCTGGTGAAACATAGACTGGATGTAGTAGGGAGAAAGGCACTGGGTTGGTAAGGGGAAGCGACAGGGAAGGGTTTCATGTGTCTATGATTAAATTCTCAGATTTCATGTATTATTTGTAAGCCAATGGCAGAAGGACAGCCTTTCAGACTCCTCCTTAGAGTGGTCTTCCACGGGATCGCTTCTGACATATAGCAGCTTTGTAGTAAATAAGCTTTGCTCTGTAATGCCTTGGATTGGTTGTGTGGAGTTCTGCTCTCTAGTCATTTATAGATAGTAAAACAGTGACAGGCAGGAGTAGAGGAAATTACAAGGAGTGAAAACCTCAGTTGTGAAATGAGATGTTCATATTTGGAGTATGAAGTGCATCAGTAGAGTAGACTTCCTTGATGACTAGGAAAGCATTCCAGTCACTTTGCTAGTTAATGGAGTTAACAACATCACTTTCTGTCCTCCAGTCAGTTTTCTACCTGCCTATTGGATGTTATGATTCTGTTAGAGATCAGATTTGCTGATAAGCCAGGCACCAAAGAGCTCCACCAGAAATGGCCCTGGTCCATAATTTGACATTAATAAAAGGCCAGTGAGTCATGCAACTTTTCAGAAAAAGAACATTGCCAAGGAAGTTATAGTAGAACTCAAAAAAGAAATAACATTGACCATTTCTACAATAGTCAATGGCAAAAATGTCTGTCAGATTGTAGGCAAGCAAATAATAAAATGCATTAATATAATGTCCTTAATGTCACCACAAGTTTACAAAAGATGTTCGAGTCCCTTTTTCTCTCAAATATGTCATGTTTCAAGATATATAATAGCATTGGCAATGGGCTAGTGACTCTTAACATTCTTAACAAGCCTACTAAAGACATGCATGTCTGTGATCCCAGACTTCAGTGAAAGAAATATAGGTCCCATTTAGGTCATCAAACCACCAGTAGATATATGTTCATTCACTGGCATTTCACACACCACAGACAGTGAGTTCTGAGCTGCATTGTCTATCAGTAAAATCTTCAGGATTTAAGAGCCTTTGTAAGGCTGTGTTTCTAGGTTTGTTCAGGGCATATTATTCCAAGGCAGGCCATTTTGATAGTGGTTGTGACTCTCAAAAACATTATCATTCAGAAGTTAAAATTATGAACAAAAGAATCACCATAGACTGATAGACTAAAAGTTTTTTAGGGAAAGAGGCTGACAATAGTGCAAGTGAGAAGAATCAGGCAGAGCTTGGCTGGATAAGGGTGAATGGGCCTATGAGGAATTTGCTAGGGAAATCATTATGGCCTGGAAGAATAAACATGGGAAATGACATGCACCATTATTTTAATCTTGAAAAAAATTCTTATAATTTATTTGATTTTTTCACTCGGGATTAAGCATTAGCATTTTTATTAACAAAATTGACAAGAATTCCACTTAAACCCTTTTTGGAAATCCTCAATAGGCACACCAGCTATGGAAACTGCTGGTAGGCAATGTTTTGATTGCAAGGTTTAATTATAGAGAGTTCCTGTGATTTAAAAACCACACACTCCTTTCTGCACCTTACAAGGCTTCATTAAAGCTGAATAAGGTGGGATCTTAAACCCCATGGCAAAGGCACCGTGTGACTGTTTTCTTCTGTCATAACACCTCTCCTTTAATTACTAAGCTAACAATGAAAAGTTCCAATATGCTCACTGAGAAACAGGGTCTCTATGTATTTTTGCAGAAAAAGAATCACTTTCCCCCCAAAACCAGAGATATAGGGGAGATTTTTATTACATTAAAGAGATAGTGGTAATGTGGGGGTGAACCTCATAACTTTGTGGCTAGTCAGGCATATTTCAGGCACGTTTGGCATATATTGAATTTATGTGACGGGTTAATTACATAAAAAAGTAACTTCTGAAATCTCATTTCCAAAATGAGAATGATAATACTCATCTCACAAAATAACTGGGAAAGTAAAACTGATGAATAAATGAATGAATGTGATAAATGTTTATTAATAAAAATACTAAACATTATTTATGTACCAAGATTTTTCTTATTGTTTTTATATATGACCTACTGTATTCTTCACAACCCTATAACATGGTCTCCCACAAATTGATATTGACTATTTATTGGTAAAATGTATGAAACTGGCTCTTTAAGAAACTTGCCCAAGACTACTGAGCTAGGAAGTCACAGCACCAGCTTTTAGACCCAGGCAGTGCTCTGCTTGTAACCACTGTTACCATGTTGCCTGAAAATCGTTAACTGCCCCAGGAGCTTTCAATTTCATTACTATTGGTGATGTTTCTGCTCTCACAGACTTCCTATTCTTGCTGTACCATTTTCTCTTCTTAACATTTTCAATGATTTCTAGCTATCCTCTTTTCATCTTCTTGTCTTAGCTTTTGAAGTTAACATTCACACATGAGTATGCTTTATTCTTACACATAAAGATACAGTAATTC